CCCCCCCCCAGGTCTGATTGGTCTGACCTGTAATACTTAGCGAGAGCTCCCTGTATCCATCTCAGCGTCACAATAGCTTGTAGAAGTGCTTGTTGTGCTCATTAAATTCAGCTGAGGCCCTCACATTAACCAAAACATCCTCCGTGTTAAGAACAGAGATATCTCTTCAGCACATCATGTGTATATTGTTTTATTCTTGTCTCAATTTGCCATCTTTGCATTTCAAAGAGAAGGGCAGACTTGAAACGTGGTGATTTAAGCGTCATTTCCAACCCATTGCGCCAAAGATGTTTTTACCATCCTCTTCTCTTCTATCTGCCTCTCGACGCTCCCCTCCTTTCCTCCCCCTCTCCCTCCCGCTGCCTCTTTTGGCTCCGTTGGCTTCGATTGAAAACCAATGAGGCAACTAATATGTGGAAAGATAGAAATTTACTTGCTTTAAGTTCATGCTTCAGCCTTCTTCTGTGCTGTATGGGTCACGTTTAGCACAACAATATGGCAGAAGCAAAGACTGCAAAAGTAGCTGCTCTGTGCTACATGATGGTGCGCTTCATGCCCCATTTCCCACCAATACCCCCTGCCCCCGCCCTCTTCGCCTCTACCTTTTCCACTCTTTCAGGGCCATGGCTTTGGGACAGGTCCACCTGCAGGGGGTTTGAATTGAAATGCATTGATCTCTGGCTCACTGGAAACAAGCCTATTCCCCTTACTTTTCCTTTTTTTTTTTTTTTTTTTTTTCTTTGTATCCAATAGTTCAAGCTCTCATGGTTGGAGTATGCATGAGTTTTCAAGCATTCCTCAACCAAAGGCATGAATTTGTATACGTTTTAAAAGTGCATTTTTAATTCATCAGCTGGAAATTGTTCTTTTCTCTAAGACCTACAATTAATCACTCAATGCTGCTGTTGTTTAAAGGCAATAAAGACACTTACTCAGGGAACAAAGTGATACTATAAAACTCAGGAAGTTAATTAATATTCATCCCAAACCAGAAATCAAAATTTGTATATATCCAAAGCTGAAATATAAAAATATACGCTTTAATTTGTTTGGGGAGAAAGAGTTAATGTGGAGCTGCTTGATTGATTAATGCATAACATGTCAAAAACCGTAGAAGTAACATGTAAAAAGTTTTCACGTAAGTTAGCAATCTAAACAGACAGGGCACAATTACGTTTTATTTGAAGATTAAAAACAACAACCAATCATTTACAACCAGCATATAACACCACAAGATACATAGACTTTCATATTCCCCAGTATTTAATATTCAATCCCCCCTCAAAGCGTATGCATCAAAAGGCCTTTTAGGGTAGTCATTTCACCCCTCTCCTACTCGCTCTCATTTGGCATCTTTCAGAGCACTGAGGCAGAAAATAAAGGAGAGGAAGACGGGCGCCTTCCCAGTCAATTTTGGTGTTTAGTTAAAAGGAAGGAAAGTGATTGCGCTGCTCGTTTTCTCTTCACTGACTGGCGGCGAGCGGATGCCGATTAGTTATTGTATGATGATTTAGTGTCTGGTAAAGCTTTCCATTTAAATGCACCCAGTAGTTATTTTGCATCGTCTCCCTGCAATTTGCCTCAGCTCAGGAGACATTGGCCATCGTGTTGTCCTAATGCTGTGTAATTGTTGGAGGGCCATCGCTGGGCAGACACGTCAGACTGCCACGCTCTTTTAGGTCCCAACCATGACTTACTGACATCGTTCCTGGCTCCCACCATCTGGAAAAATGACAAGCATCTGTCACCCAGGACGACTTTAGTGGATTTAGGGTGTGGACTTTAAGGCTTTGTTGTGTGATGCCCATTTAGCAAAATTCTTCATTTGAAAATAAAATAGAAAGGAAATGTCACTCATAAAATCAAAGCTGGAAAACAGGAAGATTAGAGGAAGTGAAGACAGGTTTAGGGATGAACTACGTGATAGAATCGGCAGATCTGAGATTTTGCAGACGAGCAGAATGTTATTGAGGAAACACGGTTGCTCAAATAGATTCTGTCATACTATCAGGTGTGCTTTGACTTGTCAAGTTCACTATTCTTGGGGATGCGAGTCATTTCTTTCTTTTGTCCATTCCCACTCTCGCCGCATCCCCCTTTTCCCCGCCTTCCCCTGTGGTGAAGGGCCATGCAGGGAAAATGAAACCAAATAGAGGAGAAAAATGGGACATTGATTTTTTTTCTCTCGACTCCTGATGGTGTTTTCAGGTTTCTCCTTTTTCACGCATCATCCTCTCTTTTCTTCTCCCACTATGTCTCGAGTTGTCCGTTATCGCCTCGCTCAACAGTCTCCCCGTCCGCAGTACTGCTGTTTGATGAGGTCTCAGAAGGTCCTGGTTATCAATGAAATTAAAGTGTGTGTGAAATAGAGAGGGTGAGTGTTTTTTTTTTTGTTTTTTTTTTTGTGTTTTTCAGAGCCATGCTCCGGCTGACCTGTACCTGATGACCAAGAACCCGGAAGATTCTCCCAACACCCCCGATGTACTGGAGATGGAGTTCAAAAACGGTTTGTGCTTGCAGCATGATGGACAACAAAATTCAATGATAAAGAAATTATTTATTTAAACTTTGAAACGTTTGAAAAATATCAGGACTTTCCCAGGCTTAGTTTCTGAAATGTGTCGCACATAAATGATAGGATGCAAAAGACGCTTCAGATACTTCTGAACTCCTTATACTACATTAGTAAGAGTGTCCACGTCCCTTCATGTTACTTAACATTGATGGTCATTGCCGCAGGGCTACAGCTCTCACGCTGACCCGGTAGCAGTTTATCACCATTCCTGACCACCCAGACTTATCCTTAACCCCTCACAGCATTAGCTGGTCCAAAGCTGCCACGTTTGGCCTGGGGGCGCACACAGGCCGGAAGTTTTAAGCCCAGCTAATACACCAAGCCCTGAGGGGCCAGTGAAACGCTCATTAGATATATTGCCGTGAGGGCCGAGCTGAATAGTGGAAAGTGTCACATGTTTGCGTAAAGAGAATATGGCAAGAAACATCCTGGCCTGGGGCAAACGGCACAGATGTCCCTTCATCCCTGGTCACTAGTGGAGGCTGCAAAGCTCTTACATCAATCGGCTGAGAGACACTAGCTCCTCTGATCACAGGGGCTTGATGGGCAGCTGTATGAGGTAATATAAGGGATGTTCAGATGGTGGGCAGAAGATTTGGTGGGAATATGTGTGACCATTAAAAGCTGCTGACAGTGCAAATGAAAATGCCATTCAGTATTCAAAATGTATCTGCACTGAAATGGTGTCCTGAACATTTTCTTTGGGAAACTGGTAAAGTGTTACCAGTTCCCCAAAGAAAATGTTTAACTATAAAACAAGTAGGTCGGCGTCAGTTCATCTGGAGATGAGATGTGCTTTTGTAAAGCAGTGGTGCAGTGGTAAAGCCTGGTCTGCTTTCGCGGGTTCTTTGCAGGCCAGTGCTCCGTTTTCACACATATTCTCTGTGCTTTTATTGAGCACCCTATGACAAAAGCTGTTTTAGTTGTCCACACAAAGGCCCGAGCCTACTCCTCCCTCTGAGCACAAGATCAGCAAAAGAATGTTTCATTTCATTCCCCCTCCCACCTTTTCATCCCTGCCTTTCTCACCAAAGTTTTCTCACTGATTAAAAAAGAATATTTAACGACAGCAACCTTTTCCCCCGTCAAACACGCCATTCCCCGATTCTCTCTTTTTTTAAGAAAAAAAAAAAAAAATGTCATCCCTCCCTCCTTTCATGCCAAAGAAGTGGAGAGGAAAAGGAGACAGAGTGGAAAAATGTAAAGCAGTAATTTTTCCTACAACTGTGTCTGTGCTTCCATTGTCTGCACTGTTGGGCTGCGAAAAACTGAAGAAAAGGATCACGGAGAGAAAAAGACCCCTCAGTGAATGATAGAACCCGCATGATGGAGAGAGCGAGGAAAAAAAGAGTGCGCAGGGACGAAAGGCCAGCCCCTACACTCCCACGTTCACTTAATTTATTTGAACTTTTAATCTAATTATTAGGTATCTGGGAGGGGGTGCAGTTTTGATAATGCACCATCCATACTGCCCTCTCCTGCACTGGGAGGTACTTTTTCTTCTTCCATGGGAGCCACCACGATTCCCGCGATATGAGAATGGGCCGTCAACAAAGCCCTTGTCTAAAAAAATTTGTCAAGTCCTTCACGTGTCATTCCTATGAGGGCTTTGTAAGCGCTGGTTGAAAGGCAGAAGTGCTGCTCTTCTCTTCAAAGCCATGTGACTGACAACTGCAAGCATGCTAAAGTAGGACCGAACGCCCCGCCGGATGGAGAGTAAATATCAGCAGAGCTTTTCTCATTTCCTGCTCTTGTGTAGCCCGCAAATGGTTATATTCCCTTTCTCAACACACACACTGACACACACGCATGTCTCATGTTTGTTTCCTCGCCTCCACCTTTGGCCTGTGTTGCTCATTGAAGGCCATGAATAAGCAGGTCCATGACAGTGATTGATGTGTACTTGGTTTAAGTGGCTTTAGAGAGGAAGTGTGTTGAGCGAGCGTGGGTGTTTAAAAAAAAATAAAATAAAAAAAGCTGTGTGTTAGACAGTGGTAGGATGATGAATCTGCAAGTGGGTTTTTTTTTTTTTCCTCCTGCACATGCGCATGAACACACAAATACTCAGTGGTGCAAAAAATCTCAGCGCTAAAGAGAGTTTGGGTAACAAAGCTGCGCGTGTAATTGAATTAGGAAAAGGCCTGCCCACGATTTCACAGCTTTCAAATGAGCAGGGCCTTTGAATTTATTAGCCTTTCTCGCCGCCTCCTTTTGTAATGGTTTTTACTTTTAGCTGACGACTATTGATTTCAGTGACTGAGATAACGAGCACTTGTCAGCAGATTTGATCAACTCTTATTTTTGACAATTTTGTCTGTTGTAATGAATTTTTCCATTCGTTCTTGAAAGCCGTTTCCTAAAACTGTTGATTAACTGTGTAAACGTTTCAGTTTTACTCATTGTTGTTTTTGGGCCAAGTGTTAATTTATCTTTGATCTCAATGAAAACCACTTGATTTTTGTTGCCTTACTTGCAGACAATTAGCAATTTATCCTAGTAGTGAATGATACCATATAATGTCATGCAGGTGCAGCTTTTTTACTCCCTATAAAGGTTAAAAAAATACTGTTTTCACAATAGAGCTTTGTGTTTTAAAGGCTTTCTGAAAGATTGATATAATTTATTTGGCGACAACAAAGGCAGTCTGAAACAATCATCATACAACTTTATGGTGGAAAACTTGAATGAGAGCAAAAAACCACTTTGAAGAACAAGTGCTACCGATTTGATTTAGCTGCTCATAACATGAGAATCAGCCTGCTGTGTTGTATCAATTTGCCTTTCATCAACTCTCATCCAGCCAATTGGTTGCTTTTTTTTTTTTTTTTTTTTAATGCATCTTTCTAATCAACCAACAAAGAAAACTGTAAATGAATTGCAGTTTCAGTTTTTGAATCTCATAAACATAAATATGTATTGCAGAGTGGGACATTGCTTTATTATTGACAGTACCAGATGGGCCACAAGTACATTATAAGTAACAAATACATTGTTTTTCCTTTCAGGACTGCCTGTAAAGGTCACCAATGTGAAGGAAGGCAAATCCAAGGACTCACCTCTGGATATCTTCTCATACCTCAATGAGATTGGGTCAGCATTATTTTCCCTAATGTCGATAAAGTATTTATTGAAAAGCACTTTTACCTTCCATGTATGATTTGTTAGATGTCCAGTGAGAGATCAGGATATTATGCAAGTGTTCCCAGAGGTGGAGCATTGGTTAAGTTCACCACCTCTGGTATGATGCGTGTCTGTCGCTGCTGGCCTGGGATCAAATCCCACCAGTTTTCCCTCCCGTGTCTCCTCCACTGTGTCTCCCTCTCTGCTTTCCAACTGTCCGCATAAATGAAAAGCACTGAAGGTGAGCTGACTGAAGAAACATTTTTCCTGAGGCAATTTTTGAGCTTGTTGCCGATTGGGATTTTTTTTTAAATTTTTTTTTTTTTTGGGAAATTCTCAACTTCATGACATGCACTGCAAACTATAGTTTGTAACTTTTGTAGTTCTGAATTAATGGCATGGATTTAATTTCCTTTGTCAGGGAAGACAAAAAAAGTTTTTCAGCTTTGCTATTCAAAATATAATATTTGAGGAGAGGCGATGGTGAATAAATCAGTTTGTAGAAGATTCCTCAGCGAGTTCTAAGGTTAACCGATGACTTCACTAATGATGCTCACAGGTCTGTGGAAAAAGAGGAGAAATATTTTAACAAGGGTGTGAATTATTTCCTGGCTGCTGTGTTTTTTATTAATTTCTTAATTTGAATATTTATATTATTATTGTATTGTTTATTCAGATCATGTTTTTGACCAGCAGTGGGCTAATCTAATTCAAGGTGAAAATAATGTGCGACTGTGTGTCCATTGACAGTTGTCCCTGTCTTTCTCTTAGTGGAAAGCACAGTGTGGGCCGGATTGACATCGTAGAGAACCGTTTCATTGGCATGAAGTCCCGAGGTAAGCAATTAAAGATTATATTTATTTTCATCCGTCTCGGTTGTGACAAATTTTCTTTCTTTTTGTGCCAAATTAGTCCGACAGGCCTCCTCACTTTCACCACCAGTGATATACACTGTAAATGCAGTGAGATGGACATACTTGGGCTTTGAAAAAACACGTCTCAATATTTTAATTTAACATCCATTCAAAAGCTTTCCTTTCAGTGTGCAGGGCTTTCATGCAATTTGCAGTTATTTTACATGAGTGCTTTTTGTCACACTCGCTATTCCGCTTCCATAAAAGCCGCATGCCAAACACACTCTCCTCAAAGGAAATGATTTCCTCTGGTTCACCTGGAATCTTAGACACTGGAGTTATTTCCATTCTCTTATGCTTGCACACTCATACAGAAAACACACACTGTGAATAGGATAACGGCGCACACGCTTCGCCGGATACACACAAATACACAGTCAATCACATATGTGCACATGCAGCCAGCACAGGGATGTTTTTGTCTCTCTATCTTTGGTATCAACGGGCAACTTGAAAAGCTCCTTTGTTAGGTCTCTACATGTGTTACCACAGCTAATATACAAAGGCATTGAGCTGTCCTGGCCTTGTATGACACACACACGCACTCCTTTTCCCCCATATGTGCTATGATTGGCAAATTGACTGGCCAACAGACTTGTAGCTGTGGCGCAACATGGCAGGTAGAAATTGGAAAATGGGAAGCCCACTTTTCTCTCCCCTCGACTGAACAAAAGATCAGAGCTTCTTCCTTCACTGAAGCAATAGGAAGAGGTGGAGCACAAGGTGTCCAAGTGGTTGAATAACTGCCATCAATTGTACATGTTGCTCTCCTCTAGACTGGCAGTCGCGTTAGCACAATAGATGATGGGAGGGATTGAATGGGCACATGTCATACCTATTTGTGTGGGGTCATATTTATTTGTGTGGGGTCAGGGAGGCGCGGGGGGATTGAAATGGTTTGTCAAGAATGTTGTCACTGTGCTACAAAACATTCAACAGCCTGTGTGGCAGACTAACATTTCCCTCCTGTCACAGTGCTGTCAGGCCTCTGACCCCGTGCACCGGTGATGGTGTTAGCCGAGGTGCACCTATCAAAAGCAGTCGGAAATGGCTGTATCTCTAGTTAACGAATGGGAGTCCTCACGTCCAAGTCCTCGCTGCTGTCAAACTCCAAGACAAAGAAAAAAAAAAAAAATAGTTTTCTAAAAACATTTTTAATATATTTACTTGTTTATGTTTGTTTCCATTTATTGACATTATTTGTACAGAAACGTCCCCTCCACTAAAAAAAAACTGTTTCAGGTTAAAATTTACTTTATTCTTTTTAATCCATTTTAAGACATTTATCTGCTTTCATTTACATTTGTTGCCTGTTTATGCTGGACTAACAGTTTGCCCAAAGGGTAAAAGGGGATCAGCTCAGGAAGAATTAATTCCTAACCCGAACCCCTTCAGGCCTGCAGCATGGTTAGCATACCTTCAGTTGTACCTTATAAAAGATTAAGATCTCAAAAACTACTGGGGGTGTTGCCTCTTTAAGCTTAACTAAACTGCCACTGTTGGAGCTTACCCAGATAGCCTTTCATTGTTTGCTCCTCTCTGATAAGCCAGCTCTCTTTTGGAGCACTTAAGCCATGTTGTGTTGGAGGGCAGTTTTAACTTATTTATCCGATAGAGCCAACGGAAACGTCCCTACGCGTGCCCTCTGTGGCCTTGGATCATCAGAAAGCCACAAGCCGTTCGAGCTAAGGTGGCAGCCTTTTGAGGTATTAGACAATTAGCAGCATTGCTAAGCTCTGTTTTTGGCCGCCAGCACAAAGTAAGTGCTTCTCCATTTTCAGATCAGGAACGGGTGCCGGAGTATTTAGGGTCGTACAGATTTGAGCTCCACTGCTCAGCAGATTGGAAGAGGTTAAATAGCGTTTATCTGTTAAATCTCAGAAAAGAGTTTTGGAGCTTGAACACCACGCAAATTATACAATTTGACCGCCTGGTGAAATATCTGTTTGGCAGGTTGGCAGCTCGGCTAAAATCACAAATGTGTGACTATCATTCAAATTGACACATGATGTGAGGAACCATGTATTGAATACGGGAACAACACTCACAATTCCAGCTCTCACAAAAATGGATGTCATTGATAAAGCTCCCATTTCTGTTGTCAAATCTGTCTGGTAGCATTTACCCTGCCCTCCTTTTGTTTTAGCTGACATTTGATTGACGGCTTCATTTCTCCTGTCATCTACCTCATCTTTTCTCCCCTCACCCCTCCCTCCCTGTCCAGAGGGGGTAAATTGCAGGGTATGCAGAGCCCTGGTCCGGGCTTCAGGCTGGCAGGGGCCTCCTACCCTGTCATTTACTCAGGACAGGCTCGTCCATGTTTTGTGAGCACCGTGAAGGCCTGTCTGTCAGACGGCTGATGGCTAATAGAGCTCGCTCGAAGCGAGTTCAGATAAACACGGCTTGTAGTTAATGTTCATATGAATTTTGCCACAATCATTTGGGTCTCAAAAAGGTGGAAGACTCTAAAATCATGACAAGATATTGTGTTGAACATTATACAGGCTGGCTGATAAAGGTGCATACATTTACTGATCCGTTCGTTCCTGTTCAAAAACTGGCTTGTTCTGTTTTGTGCGGATACTTATTCATTTTGTTTTTTGTGCGTTCATCAGGGATATATGAAACGCCAGGAGGCACAATTCTGTTGAATGCCCATTTGGACATTGAGACCTTTACCATGGACAAAGAAGTGCGTCGGATCAAACAGGGACTGAGTATCAAGTTCGCCGAACTCGTCTACAACGGTAACTCCCGATAACACATCATCTTAATTAGATAGTTTCACTAATGCTATTATTTGTATTATCTTCCACACCCTTTTGTGTTAAAGTATAGCGCATAGTATATTTTAAAATCAAAAAAACTAGGGGATCTGTAAGATTGTTTTTCTTATGTGATTATGTAGAAAAATATATTGTTATGTTTGTTTTTTTGAATCATCCAATAATCCATAGCACGATCAAAAATCCAGTATCATTCGGGCGATAGTTAGAAGGCTCACCATCCCTTTGGAGTTTATATAAGACATGCGTATCTACATCCCTGTGTGTTCAGCGTGTGTGTGCGTGTGTGTGTGCGTGTGTGTGTGTGTGTGTGTGTGTGTGTGTGTGTGTGAGAGAGAGTGAGCTTTTCTTGGCTCAGGTGTCTTAATCATCCCTTCTGCTCAGTCCCCTGCACCTTCATCCACATAATAGGATCAGTGCCATTAGAGACTGACTACTAGGCCACTTCAGTTATACCCTCCAGAGACAGGAAGCAAACACGCGTGCATGCGTGCGCGCGCACACACACACACACACACACACATAAGGTGCTACCTTCAGAAGCAGGGCAGAGATTAAACCCATTGTGGGTTTAAATCATTAATAACTCCGCAGACGGCTGGCAGTGGGGTTTATGTTAACAATCCACCTGTCCTGCATCTGTTTTGCATTAATACGACATGATTTACCCAAACACATTTGCATCAGAGAATTTGCAGCAATTACGGGCAGTGCAGGACAGACGCGGTAAGTATTTGACAAGTGGAAACAGCTACATGCGTATAAGTGGTCAATTAATAGCTTAAAAAAATCAAATTCTATTTTTAGAACAAAAGATTAATGAATTAATCGCAAATGAAAAATATGTTTATTAAAATTTCCCCAAATAACCACCATACAGAAACGCTCGCAGCGACATGTGGACAGAACTAACACAAAGATCGAATATAAAATAGCCGACTCCAAACAAAGCTGGGACCTGTGTGCTATTGTCATGTCGTACACCTCGTGCCAATCCAGAGGCAGCGAACACGAGGAAGGATTGAGTCTTTGATCATGGCCAGACGATGAGGTGGAGGTCAGCCGCTGATGAGAGGAGGACCCCTGCTGAGTGGGGCGTGTCTGACCTCTGAACACATACAGACACGTCCCTCGCCCATCTGTCTCAGGGATTGACGAGCCAGGTCAACAAAATGGGACAAAAGAAAGGGGTTGTATGAACTTCACCTGCAACAGAAATGAGACCAAAGCAGAGAGAGTTTTAGCTGATGAAAGAGGAAGAAGTGTGGGCATCGCACACACACACACCCATGCTCCCTGCTGCTAACGGAGGACGCACAGAGGAGGAGCCTCTTTCTCCTCTTGTCCATTCTATGTATTGTTTGTTTCTATCTTACAATAAATAACAATACATATATAAAGACAAATATGAGCATAATCTTTAACCTTGTTTTTGAAGAAACCTTTACATCCATACTTTTTGTGAACATTTTGTTTGCTGTGTCCTTGCTCGACTTAGGTTTCTGGTACAGTCCGGAGTGCGATTTTGTGCGTCACTGCATAGCCAAGTCCCAGGAGAATGTGGAGGGCAAAGTACAGCTGTCTGTCTTCAAGGGTCAAGTCTACATCCTTGGACGAGAGTCACCCAAGTCCCTGTACAACAAGGAGTTGGTCAGGTAAGCGTGGACAGAATAAAAGTGTATGTGTGGGTGTGCCTATAAAACAGTGTGTGCTTGTTCTGACTTGACAGCTGTGTTTTTGCTGCTCTGAGCACAGTGCAGCTACTCCACATGTTCGCCAGCCAGCCTGTTGTTGGGTCAGCTTGCCCAAGTTCTTCTTATGACCTCCACATCAACGTATTAAACCGACCCTGCCTCACAAAGACATCAGAGAAGTGTCGAGCTCAGTTCCTGGAGGGCAGACCCGACCCCAACCCCTCCTACTGCACCCCCCCGTGGCCTCTTAGCCGCGGCAACAGTGGGTTTGTTCAGGATGCTGACCCCTGATGCCCTGTGGGCAGGCTCAGCGCTGACCAAAGTAAAACCCCTCCATATGCCTCTCCATCTCCACTTCAGTCTCTCCAGTTGTACCCTAGAGTCAGAGAGCTAATGGCGTTTTCAGCCAGAGGAGAGAAAGGATTTCACTGGGCTTTTAAGAGGAAAGTACCTGGGTGTCATGCTAGTTAAGTAGATCAGAAAGAGGGAGACAAGGAGACTTGTCTCACACAGTCAGCCATTCAATTTCTTAGATTGGTTTGGAAAGTGAAAAAAGCCAGGAAAAAAAACAGTTTTTCATAGTATATTTTGTCCTGTGTGAGAGAGGGAGATAAATGGAGCCTTACCAATACCGAGTCAGTATTAATATTTAGGTTTAACATCATATAATCTTGACATTTCTTTTCATATACATTTTGTCAAGGACTTTAGCAATTCATTTTAAAATCAAAGGTGACAGTAACTGTAAATATCAGCACATTTTGAGCAGGCAACTTGATTGGAAATATTAGTTTTTTTTATTAATGAGAACAATAAAAGAAAGCCACGAATGAATCAGAAATATACTCAACTTGTATTAATCAGTGAAAAGTTATGACTTGGCCATCCTGGTTTAATGCGCTGACCACTTTTCCGGTTTCTTACAAGATACTTTTAAAAAAGCAGCGTTTGTGAGAGTTAATGTTCTTCTGTCACAAAATTAATATTATGTGATATGAATAGTAACAGTAATTATATTCTGATAGGTGTTAATTGGCCATGGTATAAAGTATAATCATCTGTTATATCATTTTTGATTTGTGATTCATTCAATTTTACGAATTTTATTTATTTTTTTTTGGCTTATTGAAACTTCTATAATGCCGTTATATTAATACATGCATGTCCTGTACCTGACAGTGATGCACCTGGAAGCTGCAGTTTCTCTCTCTCACACACACACACAGACACACACACACTTATTTGCCACTACAAGACGACCTGCTACAATCTCACACGCAGACCAGATTAGGCATGAAAGCCCCGCTGACATCCTGTTGGCTCTCCACGGGCAACAGTAAACGGCGTCATTAACACAGTGGTAATACAGCCGGTCACCGCACCCATCTGAGACAGAAATGTCACCGTCCTCACTGTCCACTGGCTCCACTCTCAATTAGACTGCAGGGTTTCTTAAAGGAATACACAAAGTATCACATGCTTGCGCACACACACGCACACGCGCATATTCTTTAAAGCCACTCGCTCATAATGGTGTTCAGGTGCCGGGTAGGGAGCCTTGTATTGAGAGTTGATGGTTTAGTTGTCGTCCTTTCTTTTTATGGTGTTTATCCTATCATTTGTTGGCAATTTCCTCTTTTGCTAAGTGCTTTTGAAGAACGAGTGCAAGCTGTACATTGGTAGTTGTGGGTGTCGTAGGGAGGAGAGGACTCGGTGAGGGAGTGTATTAAGCACTGCAGGTAGAAACTGCTGTAATTACACAGCACACAGACGCACTTTGTGAGACGCTCACGCACACTAAGACGAGATGACAGCCCGAGCGACACAGAACGTGCAGTGGCACAAGTTATGGATTTGCGTGTTTTTAGAAGAAGCGAATAAACTTGAAGACAAAAACAACAGATTAGAAAATCCTCTATAGTCACTTAGCTCACAGTTGATATGATGGGATTGTTTTAAAATGGGTTTATGTGCGTCTGTTGTGTTCCTGTGTACATGAGCGTGTTTTCATTCTGCGATATTGATTCCAAGTCATTTCGGGACAAACGATGCTAAAGAGGAGCTTTCAGACGAAAATCCATCGGAACATTATTTCAGAAGAGTAGATTATCAATGATCCAGTTATCCCAGTAGTTGATGAGGCCCCATGTCTCTTATGTTTACTGCAGTGATACCAAACATTTCAATCATTTTGTCAGCAGAATATCCTGTAACTTTTTCCGTCAGTTCTTGGTTGCACTTCCTTCAAACTAAACATTTTAAGATCGCTCTCTGTTGCCTCACCTGCCTCCGTCTTTTATTCTTTTCACTCCAGCATGGACATACAGGGAGACTACGACCCATGTGATGCCACTGGATTCATCAGGATTAATGCTGTCAGGTTAGCATCCCTTAAGAGTAAATCCAAACAGCTGTACCAAACGGTTGAGAATTGTCTTTCAGTTGGGACTTGATCACACTCTAAATCGTATTACTTGTCCTTCTTCTCCTCCACAGGTTAAGGGAACACCATCGTTTGCAGGGTTTCTCCAGCAGCAAGAAGTAACCGTCGCAGTCCTGTGAATCGTCTTTCTTGCCTCCTCTCTCCGCCGTGTCTTAAGCAGAAGCAGTATTGGACTTTGTACCTCTATTGTCTACTGTTTGTTGTATTCAGGTTATTTAGCACACTTTTCTTAGGTAGTGAGTAGTAGAGGGAGACGAATCTATCTTAAAATGTGGGTGAGCATTATAAAAGTATGCATTTCATAGTATTTTCTCATTCTTGCTGTCATTTGTTTAGCGCACAAGTATTTAAAGTAGGAATTCTTTGTGTCAGAAATAAAATGAAGTGAATTGTCTTTTTTTTTTTTCTTCCTCAGCTCTTTACTTAATTCATTTCAGAAAACAGTTTATGATCCGGTTACATGCAAACACTGTGGAGATACACATCCGCCCCTGTCAGTTTGAATGTGTTAATGATTAATAGTTCATGTCTTTGGCAGACGGCCTATTTATTGGTGTCTGCCTGTTTAACTCCGAGGGCTGTATCGTCACTGCCCCGTGATGATTTCAGGGCAGCGAGAACGCTGTATCTTATTTTACATTATGGAGATGAAGCGGTAGCGGTGCATGGGTTCGGCACAGGAGAAAGTCAACAATGTGGCTCGCTGATGGCCGCTGGAGCAGAAGTGATGAGGCCATTTCTGAGCTCAAATGGCACAAGTCAGATGGAAAGAACCAATTGGCCACATATGTATATTTCCCTGCTCCGCATGGGGTCTACAGGCTTACGGAACAGAGGGAAGAGGGAGAAGCATTCTAAAGAGTATTGTCATTAATTTGTGTGTGTGTGTGTGTGTGTGTGTGTGTGTGTGTGTGTGTGTGCGCGCGCGCGCGCAAGCCTGAAATGGATGAGCATGGTGCTGTCTCACATATTGTCCCGATTAAAAAGCATTTGTCAATAAGAGGAAATATGTGACCATAAGGATGCGCAAGAACATCTTTTTAACCCTTAATTGAAAGTAGCAAAACACAATTACATGACCGCTATAACAAAAAAAATCAGTGACAAGTGATTAGAAAGTGTGTGCTTTGGAAGAGGTCTGACGATAAATTAGTTTAAAGCAACCAACAATGATGCAACAACCAAAGTGCTGAAGAGCAGATACTAGATGCACAAATTGAAGATTTATGTCACAAAAAAAACTGCAAAATCATTTTTAAAATCATGACCTTTAGAAATGAGATTAAATTACATAATTAGTGACCTTTAGAAATGAGATATTTAACATGTTAATTGGTGACATTTAGGGTTGCTGCTAGGCAGATTCTGTTACCTCAGGAAAGAGCCAGACTAACGGTGTTCCCCTGCTTCCACTCTTCATGCTGAGCTAGGCTAATGAACACTGGCCCCAGCTTCCTATTCAACGTACAGACGTGAGAGTAGTATTAATTGTATATAGAAATGAATGCCACAATAATTTAAGTGGTCTGTCTGAACACTTAAAGGAAGTCAAACTTCGTTAACGGAAAGTTTTGTAGATGTAGTGATCACCCACTTAGTCCCTAAAACAGATAGAGGCTTTCTTGTCTAAATCTCACTGCAGAGTTCAGTGTATCAACAGCAGTTTCTGAGAGGATGAGGATGTTTAAAGTTCATATATTGTTAAATGTCAAAATTATTTTCCATACAGTATGCTCCATTCTATATCACTCTTCAGTCTGTAGGACACAGCAGCTGTTTCTGTGCAATCCCCACCACTGAAAGAAGTCAGTCCTGCAAGTGCTGGATACGGTGTGGGCCTCAAGGTGGAGTCTACAGACACAGGAGACCCCCTGCCAGGTCTAATGGGCAATGAGGGATCCTCAGACCCTTTCAGTCCTGCAAGAGCCCCTCAGCTCCTGCTCAATTACACGGCAGGCGTCTCAGTCTTTGCCTGGTCAATTACCAGCCAGCCCCTGCATTTACTGTCGCGCACTCACAGGTTGCAAGATAATCAGTGTTCAAAATTGCCCGGTTAGAATGAAGGGATGGATGGAGAGGTATTCAGATTAGTCAGTCAAGCTGAAGGGGAGGTAGGAGGGATGGGGACAGCTATCAATCTCAATCTGGCTTCAGCGGTTGGAGGGGGAGGATCGTGGTGACCTTTCAACTTTGTTTCTGGGAAGATATGATCCCGAGGAATCTTTGCTGATGTGAAAGCAGTTTTGTACAATGTGTGTGTTTTGATTTAGGAATAGAAAGATGGTTTCTGTAAGGGAGCTCCTCACTGGGGCTTAGTTTTATTGAAGCACAGACTTTTTTTAATCAGCAATCCTGACTGTGCGTGTACATGTTCCTGGACACACATCCACTTACCTGCTCACCTACCACGTCTCATATTTCACCCTTCCCCTCCCTCCCTACCCGTCTACCCAGCCAGCCAGGTATGAAAACTAGCTGACACCTGACCAAGGGAATTAATCATCCTTGACCCTGTACCAATTACCCCTCATTACCCACTCTGTGTCCACCTCTCGGGGGAGAGCCGTGTAACAATAGCGCAACATGAATGTCAGCGGCGTCACAGAACCGAGTCCTAATGGACACTCCTGTGCGACCGTGTCTCCAGGTCGACTAAACTTCAAGTCCTTGTCACTCTCCAACAGCACACGTACAAAGGAGGCCATTGTTCAGGATCAGGGTCTATGACCTCTTGAGATGAAGTGAAGAGGGCCGCTGGCGATGAGAGGGCAGCCGTGTTGGAAATGGATGATTCAAGGGTTGAGAGAACAAGAAAGTATAGAGACACTTGATAACAAGATGTTTGGTGACACTTTCTAATGAGACATCCTTTAATATATGGTTTGTAAGTTGAAACTAATAGCTATATTTGGTAATAATTCAGTTAAAAATACTGTTACTCCCTGAACAAATGAACCTGGGTTTCTCAATTTTTCATAAGTCATTGAATCTGCAGTTATACATGTTAATAAGTCATTAATAAAGGGTTTATAAACTATTTCATCCAGACAGCAGCTGTAGATGTTAAGAAATGTCTGTACATGGATCGTGGTCTGGATTATTCACAGGCCTTTTCCAGGAGGTCAGCCAAAGGGATTTTTACAACCTGGCAATCCAAAATGTGTTCTTCGTGATGCTCATAATTGATCAACTGGAAAGTGAGTCTTACTGTTGTTTTTGTGAATACCTATCTCTAATATTGTCTTTCTGTCTTGCCAGTTCCCTGTCTGCTTTCAAATCACTATCTTAAACACACTTCTGTGTGAGGTATAGGTTTTATTAGTTTTTTTGTTTTCTTTGTATTTTATAAATTTTTCTCATTTAATTCATTTTTATGTGTCTTGTGAATCAACATTTAGGTAGTTGCTGCAGTAATAATTAATGGTAAAATATTTTTGTACCATATTGTACTTTTTAAGAACTAGAAAAAACAAATGTGGTTGTTGCCTGAAGACTTTGCAATCATAACCGAGGCATGATAGAGCTTTCTTAACACACAAAGTACAAACTCAAAAATCAATAACATTGGAATTGTCAGGTTTTCACTCGGCAACAGTGATATTGTGGGAACAAAAAAAGAATAACTGGAACAAAGCACACAGAATGTCTTTCACCCATCAGAATATTTCGTGGTTATTCAATCTGTGTTCTTCAGCTACCTGTCTGTGTGGAAAAGGCCCCCGTGTTCACTGACCTCTCCTCTTTAAACACAATGAGACAAGAACAATGACCATGGGGGTTAATTACCAACGATTAGAGGCAGAAGTGGCTCTCCTTCACTATGGTTTGTGTAACCTGAGCCCAGGGAGCCGTATCTTGTCTGTCTCCAGATTTCCACATTTAATTCAACTTGTGCATAGAAAATTCAAACATTTGCAGCTTAAACATATTATGAATTTAACGAAAGTATGTCAGATCACTGGATTTTCTTTCATTTCCTATCTTCTTTTATTTGTAGGTTACTTTTCTATTTATTTATTTTTATTGCTTTTACCTCTATCATATTATATTTTAGTGACATCTCAATAAAATGCCAATTGCTCCTTGTTTTCTGAACATTTCACTTAATGCTACTTTACTTAGCAGGTGTAAGGGGTTAATAGACTGGTCCCCTGTGGTTTGTGCAGAAAGCTAATGGGCCTGGCAAAGATGATGAGGTCACTCTCTTACTGCTGAAACAATGAGCGATTTACAAGCCAGTAAACCATGCCAATAGTGCTGGCTTACTATTGATAAATTATTTATATTTATACTTTTTATATCCATGGATTGCACTAGATGGAGTTGGATAAATGGTAACAACCAGATGTTGATCAGCACATATTTTCTGATCTAAAATACAAGTGTGAAGGCTGTGAGGATGACTAACTTAATGTGGTAGACTAAATTAGGATTGTGAAAATGATTCTAAGCAAACCCAGAAAATCTATCAACTACGAGGGGAGCAGACATTTCCAACAGTTGGCTCAGAACACACCATTGATGTACTTGAACAGAGCTGATTTGTTCTAGTAGCTGACATTTCTACTCTTGAAACTTGATCTGCTGCTATGACATCTGTGAGGAACCATCCAAATAAAGCAGGATACACTTTGCCTTCCAGGCTAGCTAACATCCGTGGATCCTGTGAGTGCAGTGTTTTTCCTTGATCTCGAAGCCTATTTTCTGGTGTCAAAGGACACCCATACACTGATGTCCTCAAGATCTATAGACAGATGGGACCATTACAGTCAGAGCCCCTGGCTTTGTTTGGCCTGAGCCTGTGATGAAATATTGATGGAAAAATAGAAATATTTTGCCTGCTGCTCAATGTTGCCCAACTAAAAGGGTTAATGAGTGTGATGACTTCCCAGTCTCCTGTTACAACAAATGGGAGCTCTACCACCCACTAGCATTGACTAGACCGGATTGTGCAGGCTCTACGGGGCTAACAAGAATCGATAACCTTTCTCAATGCTGGATTAAGTTACCCTGTTTTAGTTGCTCTATAGTTGTGTTTGTGTTGAGTTGTAGGTTGCTAACTTCTTGGTAATTTCCATCAATAATGGGAAAACTTATTGGAACAAGTTGACTTGTTTGGAAATATGAATGCTATATCTTGTTTATTTAATCCATACTAAAAACAAAGTGTCATCAGCAACTTTTTGAGCCTCAGTATGTGTATGACTGGCTGTGATCCAGATCCATGTGGATGGTTAAACAGCAGTGTCAATCTGCTAATTGTCTGCACACAGATCCTTTGCCTGCTGTTCAGACCTGTTGCGCCTGATCTGTCTCGTGGCTTTATGCCTATTTGAAGCTGTTACTGAGGGCCTGCGTACAAGCTCACAATGACAATGCTGATATGCTGAGCCG